TTTGAGATAAGAAAAAGCAACATTTCTTTGCAAAAATCTAGATATACCTTGCCACCTAACGGTCTCCCTTTATGATTTGGAGAAGTAACTTTTTCTTATCAATTTACCTGCGCCATTTTGACACCTAAGCAACAGATACTGCGAAGAAAGACATACTTTGGCCAATCAATCTCCAACAATAATCACTGCGCTCTCAGTGCATTTGGTGCAGTCAAATCATCATCAAATTCAAAGTGTCAAGCAACCAGAGTAAGTACACCTATCACTGAAAATGTCAAGATCACCGGACAGCCGTTGTGGTAATCAGTTTACTTAATACTTTGAAAATCTCAAAGTCAACTCATAATCGCTGTATGTGGGAGGCGAAGGGACCCGGAAGTATTGTGTGGGTAGCAAGTGCTCACGCCCAAATCAAATGGAAATGAAAATCTGCAAACAGAAGAAGCAACCTCTAGCGAGCAGAACGGAAGCGCAACTTGCTGAAAGTTCAGACAATGCGGGATTTTTCAGTGTCTTCATTCGTTAATTTCAAGAAGACTCTCAATCAGCGGAACACAGTGCTGCACTCAGGCCCTTCCAGATCAAAAGATCGATTTGGAATACAATTTAGTAATGTCTTACTGGTATACACACAGAAGTCACCTTTTCTGAACAGCCTATGAAGGCAAGAATAGACAGATGTAAAGCAGAACATTTGTTCCTTGAAGCCATTACTAACGCACTTGCAATAATACCTTACGGTAAAATTAAACAACAGAGAGGTTTTATATGAACATTTAAATATTGTAGACAATTCTTGAATAAATCTTGTGCGTTAAAAGATTCTGTTAAATGAGCTTGCAACCATTGCGAAGGAAACTGAATTCACCAAGAAAAAAGCAAACGAATTATGCATGCTTATTACTCCCATTTTAACGTGAGGAACCACACTTAATTGCAAGGGCAATTACAGCTAGATAATGAGCTGGGTCAGGAGTTTAGAAAAAGAAAATACGGGATAAAAAACAACGCCAAATCACGCGATATCTTTTCCATTACTAATATTATAACGCAATGACTGTGAAGGCGACACTTACCAATTTTGCCGTTGCCACTTCCATTATAAAATATGAAATAGCAAGCTTACTG